TCAGCACCACCTCACCTTCCACACTTACAGAACCTCCCGCATATTCCAGGAAATGCCCCCACACTCCTGGCTCAGGGCCTTTGAACTTGCTCTCTCTGCTTGTAGGCAACACTTACCTTCCAGTGTCCACACAGCTTGCTCCCTAACTTTCTTCAAGTTTTCATTCAAAAGCTCCTTTCTCCGTGAGGCATTTTCTAACCACTCAAAATAAAGTCACAACAACCTCTACTGCACTACTGCAAACCTTATACCCTTTTCATGATTTTCTAAGTATTTATTGTTAGGTCGGAGAGAGCCCAGGATCGGATGCATGCAGAGGTGTGATGAGATAATGGACCTCCCCTGGAATTTCAAACAGATCAGCGTGCCAGACACAGATACCGGCATCTCCCTGGAATCCACACGACCCCCACACAGATACTGACTCCTTCCTGAATACCCTGCTGACCCCCTGTGGCAGAGACTTCCTCAGCTGAATACCTTGATGATCCCTGCAGCAGAGACTTCCTCAGCTCAGGCCCCCCACCCTCACCAAACACCTGTATAAAAACATGTCTTTGGGGTTCGTGGGTCGCCTGGGGACGCAGATTAAAACCTTTTCCTTTTCTCCTCTTTAACCATTTGGTTCTACGCCACTTCCTGAGCCACCTAACATTTATCACTTTCAATATGTCCTTTTTTATTTTTATTTTTGCTCTCCCTCTTTAAAATGTAAATTTTCATGAGATTAAAACAAGCATAGAGCTGTTCACTATTGTATCTTCAGGGCTTAGAGAAGTGATTTGGAAATTATGGGGTGAAGGATTATTTGTTGAATGAATGAACCTCTATATACATCAAGAATTTCTTGTACTTAATATCTATCAAGACTAAATTTTATGTTTAACTTGTCATGAAAATATATAATTTATGTACAATTATGTATCCTATATATGACTTACTCTCATAATTTAAGAGTAAGAGATAATTCATGAGGGGTTCTGAATTAATGCCTATCTTTTATCTTATACATACATGGGTAAAAGTGAAAAGCACATAGCAAGTAATAATTTAGTCCCCTGGGTGCACTCACACACATCACACACATGTGCATGTGTTTTATCTTGAATAGCAACCACTGACTAATGTTTTTGTGACAGCACCTCTCACTGACACCAGAGAGTTGTTATCACAACCCGCAGTCAGGGGGAGAGGGCTGTCCCCAGCCTGGATTCTTGTCTTCTCCTATAATTTATGAGACCTTGATTGTGTTGTGATCATGTGAATTTACTAAAACATTAAAGGAAGAGAATGTGTTAAAAAAATTAAAGCATGCACATTTATTAAAGAAGGCAAGCAAATCTGTACATCTGGTTTATGAAGCACAGATGGCTCTCAGCTAACCTTGAAGAGTGAATGGGGTGGGGTTATATACTCTCCTGCCTATGGGTGTGTGTTTTTTTTAATTCCTCTGCTAGATATCCTGGTACAAATTAACTTCGAAGGTTTCCCCCTTTTTTGTTGTGGTTCTTCCACAATTTATGAGCGAGATCTGGCAATTAAATCCCAACTGCTGGCTTTTGGTTAAACAGTGGGATGAGATAAAACTACACTCTTCTTGCCCTCTCCTCCCTGCTGTTTTAACAACTTCAGAATGATTTGTAGATTCCTTCTCCCCTCCCCTTCCCTTCCCCCTCCTCTCCTGCATTCTTTTGTGAGGAGAGGTTTTAACCCTTTGTTCTCAAGATAAGGTCCTGTTACAAGGAGCCAGCCAAGCTGTTAGGCTTTTTTTTCACTTTCCTGCCTCAGTTTCCCTAGTCCACCTGTCCCAGAATTTACCTAAGCTTTTTATTGTCCTATAACATTATGATGTTAAAAAAAAAGATTAAATTATTCTTAAAATATGGAACAGTAATATAAATATTTTATTTTTATTATTCAGTATATTATTAAACCGCATAGACAAATGTGCACACACACACTCACACACAAGGATTTAGCTTCATCCCACAAATTTTAATAGGTTGTATTTTCATTTTCACTCTAAAAGATTAAATTATTCTTAAAATATGGAACAGTAAAATAAATATTTTTATTATTCAGTATATTATTAAACTGCATAGACAAACGTGCACACACACACTCATACACAAGGATTTAGCTTCATCCCACAAATTTTTTTTTTTTTTTTAATTAAATCTTTATTGTTCAGGTTACATTTGTTCCTCTTTTTTTCCCCCCCATAACTCCCCTCCTCCCAGTTCCCGCCCCACCCTCCGCCCTCACTCCCCACCCACTGTCCTCATCCATAGGTGCACGATTTTTGTCCAGTTTCTTCCCGCATCTCCCATTCCCCTTTCCCCCCCAAGAATAGTCAGTCCATTCCCTTTCTATGTCCCTGATTCATTATAATCACCAGTTCATTCTGTACATCAGATTATTTATTCACTTGGTTCTTAGATTCACTTGTTGATAGATGCATGTTTGTTGTTCACAATTTGTATCTTTACCTTTTTCTTCTTCCTCTTCTTAAAGGATACCTTTCAGCATTTCGTATAATACTGGTTTAGTGGTGATGAACTCCTTTAGCTTTTCCTTATCTGTGAAGCTCTTTATCTGACCTTCAATTCTGAATGATAGCTTTGCTGGATAAAGTATTCTTGGTTGTAGGTTCTTGGTATTCAGCACTTTGAATATTTCTTGCCATTCCCTTCTGGCCTGCAAAGTTTCTGTTGAGAAATCAGCTGACAGTCGTATGGGTATTCCCTTGTAGGTAATTGAGTCTCTTTCTCTTGCTGCTTTTAAGATTCTCTCTTTGTCTTTTGCTCTTGGCATTTTAATTATGATGTGTCTTGGTGTGGTCCTCTTTGGATTCCTTTTGTTTGGGGTTCTCTGCGCTTCTTGGACCTGTAAGTCCATTTCTTTCACCAGGTGGGGGAAGTTTTCTGCCATTATTTCTTCAAATAGGTTTTCAATATCTTGCTGTCTCTCATCTTCTGGCACCCCTATTATTCTGATGTTGGTACGCTTGAAGCTGTCCCAGAGGCTCCTTACACTATCTTCGTATTTTCGGATTCTTTTTTCATTTTGCTTTTCCGGTTGGGTGTTTTTTGCTTCTTCGCATTTCAAATCTTTGGCTTGATTCTTGCGCTCCTCTGGTCTGCTATTGGGTGTAATATTCTTTATTTCCGACCGTGTATGCTTAATTTCTAGTTGTTTCTTTATCATAGCATCGAGGGTCTCATTAGTTTTCGTGAGGCTCTCCAGAAGTTTATTGCAAGCCCTCAAAATTGCGTTTTTTAGCTCTATATCCTCCATTTCTGTCATGTTTTTTTGTCTCCGCATTTTTTATGCTTTCTTGGTGCACCCCCTAGTGGTCTTTGTGCGCAGTCTTGTTCTAGTTGAGCCTTGATTGTTGTAGTTAATACTAGAGGGATTTGACCACCAGGCCGACTGGCTGTGTGAATCAGCTGTGTCTGCCGCGGAAAACTTCTGTCCTCTGGGGAGGTGCTAATCTAGCCTTTGCCTGAGGCGATCCGGCAAATGGCTCTGCGCAGGGCTTGGGCGGGGCGGGCTCAACAGGGCGGGCGGAGGGAGCCGTTATGGTGCCCTCAGTCCTGTTCCCAGAGGCTCTGCTTCTCAGAACCCCCGGAACCGCTGCAAACCTCGGAGGGAAAGCTGCCTTCCAACTGATGCCAGACACTCCCGCTTCTCCCGTTTGGGTCCGAGTCCCCAGCGATTCGCCCGTATCTGGAGCTCAGAGTCTGAGACTCCCCCCTGACCGAAAACGACAACCGCGCTCTCAGCCACCAGCCCGCTTTGCGCGCGCACCTCCGCACCTGAGTTTTTTCCACACTGCGCCTCCTCTGAGCCTCGGTGTGCTGTTATTTTTCCTTCTAGTTGAAGAGTCTCTCCTCAGCCAGCCTTCCTGTGGTTCTGGGTGATGTCCGTTCCGTCTTTTAGTTGTATTTTTGAAGTGGTTGTTTGCGGCAGCAGTCTCCGGTGTTTACCTATGCCGCCATCTTGGTCTCCATGTCCCCACAAATTTTAATAGGTTGTATTTTCATTTTCACTCAGTTTAGATGTGTTTTAAAGTATCCTTTGAGAGTTCCTCTTTGATCTAATGGTTGTTCAGAAGTATTTAGGTAAGTTTCCAGATATGTTTTTTATTAATTTCTAGCTTAATTTTGTTGTGTGTCAAACATAGAACATACCTTGAATTGTTTTATTTTACATTTGGAATGGGCTAGAGCAGTGGTCAGCAAACTGCAGCTTGCGAGCCACATGTGGCTCTTTGGCCCCTTGAATGTGGCTCTTCCACAAAGTACCACATGCGGGCATGCACATACAGTGCGATTGAAACTTCGTGGCCCATGTGCAGAAGTCGGTATTTTGTGGAAGATCCACATTCAAGGGGCCAAAGAGCCGCATGTGGCTCACGAGTCGCAGCTTGCCGACCACTGGGCTAGAATATGATCTTTCCTAGTGAATGTTCCCCTGTTTTATGTTAATTTTAGAAGAAAGTATATTATACTGTTTAAGGGAAGAATGTGTTCAATTAGGACTAGTTATTTGATGGTATTGCTCAGTTTCCCTATATAACTCCTGATTTCTCTTTTGTTATTAATAACTGAAAGAATAATGCTGGAGTCTTTACCTGTGGATTTGTCTATTTTGCCTTTCATTTATAACAGCTTTTGGCTTCAAGAATGTTTAAAATCTATTTACATATGCTTACACAATTAGAACTTACATGTCTTATTAGATATTTAATCCATTTTGTCATTATATAATGCCCTTCTGTATTACTGATAGTATTTCTTGTTATTAATTCATATTATTTGAAGATTAATATTGCTATTTCAATTTTTTATGTGTTTTCATGGCATGTTTTTTTCTATCTTTTAACTTTAATTTTAAATAGAATAGTTGGTTCTTTTATCAAACATGATAATCTCAGTGTAAGGTTCACGGCGAAAGAGACAAGGTCAGAGAGCCAGGCAAGTCCAAAAGGAGGAACTTTAATCTGCACTCCCAGGTGAGGTTCAGGGGTCCAAGGGCAGGGCCAGTGAAGTCGAGCCAAAAGGGAGTGGAGGCACTTTTTTATACAGCTGTTCAGTGAGGGCAGGGGAGCATGAGCTGTGGGAGTTTTCGCCGCAGGCAGGTCTGTTACGGGTTCCAGGAAGGGACCAGTATCTGTGTCACCATCTGCCTTGCAGTTGCATGCATCGGCTCCTGGACTTCCCTCCACCTAACATCCCGGCCTTTTGGTGATAGGGGGCGCCGAAATTGTCTTGGCTACTTCCTGCTGACCAGGGGCAAAAAGGGAGGGGGATTTTAAAGGCCAGGGTCAGGCAGAGGCAGGTCAGAGGGCAGCCGAGTGTAGGGGTGGAGCAGGCGCTTATTTACAGTCACCCGTGACATCTCCGCGATCCGGGAGCTGTCCTGGGTGTGCCTCGTACGTAGTTCGTCACTCAGCTTAGTCAGGGTCTGCACATTTTGCTCCACTACTCCGGACTCATTGATGTAGTGCTGTTGGAGACCTGGATTGGGCCTCCTGGACCTGGGCCTCCTGGACCAAGACATATTCCCGGGAGATGTAGACGGTCCCTGAAGGGGTCGAGCTCCAACCACTCCCGTATAGTTTTCCCATAACGCCCATAACCCATCGCTGGTCCCAGGGATCCCGGACCCTGATGTTAAAGGTCCCATCCTTCCAGAAAAAGGGGCCAAACCTGACCTCATTATAGGCATCATGGGTGACACAGTCTGACCAGCGGCAACCCCCATAGGTGTTGACATCTTTATTACACCTGTCTGGGTTCTGCTGGTCATAAGCAAAACAGGCATAGGGTCGGCCACCATTGGACACTGACCAGAGGTTGACAGCCATCAGGATCTCCGCCTGGCATTCGATCAGAGGGCAGTCCTGAGATCCTACCTGCCGGGTGATTTGTGTGCTGCCCTGGTAGTAGGTTTCACGGACCTTGAACCTCCACACATAAGCGGGTGGGGATGGGTGTAGGTTGCTCAGGGCCGGGAGGAGAAAGAGGAGGGGGAGGATGACTAAGGCGGACCTTAGTGGGGCCCAACACCTCACATTTATAGAAGCCATGCTGCTCCGGGGTCCTCTTGAGTCTGGAGAGGTGGTGCCAGGAAGGATCGCCAAGTAGTTTGGCCACGGTGGGGGTTGTAAGGATTACAGTGGGAGGTCCTGTCCACCTCGGCTCCAAGGCTTTTGGATGTAGATTCTTAAGGAGGACCGAGTCACCTGGGTGAAGGGCTGGTCCTCGGGAGCCCTGGTTGGTCGGTTCTGGCTTAGGCAGAAACCTGTCCGCGTGTTCTCGGAGCAATTGCCTGAGTAAGGATAGATATGGAAGATAAGTACCTAAGGGAGGAGGATCAGTAGAGAGATGGTGGTTGAGTAAGAAGGGTCTCCCATATAGAAGTTCAAAAGGGCTTAAGAAGGTGGGGCTCCTTGGTATAGCCCGGATTCTGGTCAGGGCCATGGGCAGGAGGTCCGGCCAGGAGCTGCAAATTTCTAGAGAGTTTAGTTAGATGGTCCTTAAGGAGGCCATTAATTCTCTCTATTTTACCCGATGATTGTGGTCGGTAGGGTATGTGTAGCTTCCAGGAGATGCCGAGAGGTGCTAACCTGCTGAATGACCCTTGATATAAAAGCTGGGCTGTTGTCTGATTGTATGGAGGTGGGGAGGCCTAATCTTGGGATTATGTGTGTTATTAGGGTCTCAGCCACCACTTCAGCAGTTTCCTTGTGGGTGGGAAAGGCCTCTACGCATCCTGTCAGGGTGTCTACCATGGTAAGCAGATACCTGGTCTTTTTGTGGGGAGGCAAATGGGTGAAGTCTACCTGCCAGTCCTGCCCTGGGAGGTGTCCCCTCATTTGATGGGTAGGAAAGTTGGGGCGCATTCCTCCCTGGGGTGAGACAGCCGCACACGTGGGGTAGGAGGAGCAGGCACTCGTGATCGCCTCTTGCAGTGTGGGCGAGGTGAAGAGGGATTCTAGGAACCTCCAAAGTGCCAGTGGTCCAATGCGTAACGACCTGTGGATCTGTTGGGCAATGGCCCCTGCCTGGGCCCGAGGGAGGGCAATTTTGTTATTTATAAAGATCCATCCCTCAGGACCGGGAGAGCCTCCCTGCTGCAGGAGTTTATTTTTCTCTTCTTCTGTATATTGAGGGGTAATGGAGGGAAGGGAAAGGAACAGGACCAGGGCTGGGGACCCTTCACCCTGAGTTAAGCCTCTGGCCACCGCATCCAAATGTAAGGTTCGTGGCACAGGAGTCAAGGTCAGAGAGCCAGGCAAGTCAAAAAGGAGGAACTTTAATCTGCACTACCAGGGGAGGTTCACGGGGTTCAAGGGTGGGGCCAGTGAATTCGCGCCAAAAGGGAGTGGAGGCACTTTTTTTATACAGCTGTCAGTGAGGGCAAGGGGAGAATGAGCTGTGGGAGTTTTCGCTGCGGGCAGGTCTGTTACGGGTTCCAGGAAGGGAAGCTGCGTCACCATCTGCCTTGTGGTTGCATGCATCAGCTCCTGAACTTCCCTCTGACCTAACACTCAGTATTTTACATGAAATGTTGGACTCATTTACCTTTTTACATTTTATTGTCATAAGAACACTTCACAAGATCTACCCACTCAACAAAATTTTAAGTGTGCAATACATTGTTAACTATACCAACAATGTTATAATAGTATCTCTAGATCAGTGGTTCTCAACCTGTGGGTCGCGACCCCTTTGGCGGTTGAACGACCCTTTCACAGGGGTCGCCTAAGACCATCCTGCATATCAGATATTTACATTACGAATCATAACAGTAGCAACATTACAGTTATGAAGCAGCAACGAAAATAATTTTATGGTTGGGTCACAACATGAGGAACTATATTTAAAGGGCCAGAAGGTTGAGAACCACTGCTATAGATACTCAAATATCTCTAGATACTCTAATCTAGATATTCTAATCTTGCTTAACTGAAACTTTATGTTTAGTTACACATTATTTTTTCCTCTCCCCAGCCCCTGGCAACCACCATTCCACTATTTGATTCTATGAATTTGAGCTCTGGTGGAGCTTTTTTGCTACCTCAGATGACTTGGTAAATATTTCTCAGATATATCTGGTCTTCACCCACACTTCTTGACTCACAGCTTCCAAAATCCTTGGGATTTCCTGTGTTGAGAGTTAAGGTGGCTTTATGTGTAGAAGGTGACTTCTTTTTTTTTTTTTTAATAGAGTGGAAAGACAAAGAAAAACATCAATGTGAGAGAAACGTATCAACTGGTTGCCTCCACCAGGGCCCAAGCCAGGGAGAAGCCTGCAACTGAGGTAGGTGCCCTTGACCAGAATCAAACCTGGGACCCCTCAGTCCATAGGCCTATGGTCTATCCACTGAGCCAAACCAGCTAGGGCTAGGAGGTGATTTTTGAAACACCTAAGAATGAAGGTTGCTTGCCAGGAGACCCAACCATGCAACCTGAGCTGAGAATGGGCAGGTGGCATTAGCGTGGGAGAAGTTGGTGGGAAAAGGAAATCCAACAAGGGAGCTAACCCAGGCTCTCATTTATCATTCCCTGGATCATGACACACCAAGGAAGAGATGAGTCAAGAATATCTCATTCCTGGTTTTGCCATAATGTCTCCGCCAGCCAGTTCTCTCCTCCCACCTGGCATATTTGTTAAATTCCCTGCCAGATAATTCCAACATCTGTGTCATATCTGCGTCTGGTTCAGACTATTGCTTTGCCTGTTCTTAGTGTACTTATTCTTGCTTTTACATATATGTGATTTTTGTATTAATGCTGGCATCATAAGCAGGAAAGAGCCTGAAGTAAATGATATGCTTGGAAATGGACACATATGCCCACTAAGCCTTTAAGGCAAATACCTTGGTTCTTTCTGTGGACACAGAAGATTTTAAGGTCAACAAAAATAAAAGTAAAGCAAAATGGGGTTTATTGAAGATACACTCCAAACGAGGTGCATGCCATTGGAGAGAGCATGGGATGAAATGGCCGGGCTCCTTACATTCCAAGTGGGGAGCAGGCAGGGGGAGGGTGGCGGGGTGGGGAAGAGGGGGAAGAGGGAGAGAGAGAGAGAGAGAGAGAGAGAGAGAGAGAGAGAGAATTCCAAGTGGGAGCAGGCAGGGGGGGAGGGACGGGGAAGGGGAGAGGGAGAGAGAGAGAGAGAGAGAGAGAGAGAGAGAGAGAGAGAATTCCAAGTGGGAGCAGGCAGGGGGGGAGGGACGGGGAAGGGGAGAGGGAGAGAGAGAGAGAGAGAGAGAGAGAGAGAGAGAGAGAGAATTCCAAGTGGGAGCAGGCAGGGGGGGAGGGACGGGGAAGGGAAGAGGGAGAGAGAGAGAGAGAGAGAGAGAGAGAGAGAGAGAGAGAGAGAAGCCGGGCTGCTTACATTCCAAACGGGGACGGGTGAGACCACTGCCAGGCTACTTCAGCTCAGTGGGAAGCCAGAGAAAAGGGGGCCTTGGGGACAGGTTCAGGGGGTGAGCCCAGGGCGAGCTGCAGTGCCCATCTCCCCTGGTTGCAAGTCTCATCGGGTGCCTCAGAGGTTGGGGGTTACATACCTGTGGGGGAAGGGAAGAAGAAGGCTTGGCGATGCTCCCTGAAGCACAGGCAAGAGGGCATGGCCCCCAGCTTCTGGGTTTAAAAGAGGGGTTTTCTGGGTGGAGCCTTTCATTTGCATCAGGGATGATTGACCTTTCTTCTGGGCAGGCCCTTACCCATAATATACACAGAAAAACCCACAGGGGGCGGGGTCACAACCAAGATGCAAATTTTATTATAATTAGCCCAGGGCCCTAGGAAGGGCGCATGGGCCTTGAGGCCACGTTTTCTTCTGTGCTGGCGCCGAGAGGCGGCTGGCTCCCACCTCCCTGCTGGCGGCTGGGCCGCCCATAGAGAGGCGGTCTGAGCGCCACGCTGGTCCCACCCCTGCCAGGACCCGGGGCAGGCCCGCCCCAGCCGCTCAGGTCTGACTTCCTACCTAACGAATACAGTTATTTATGAGTTTGGCTGGTTTCCTGGTGCTGCTACTATGGTTATCCTCAGTGTACCTCAGGCTTCACATTTCTGTACAAATACTGATAGTGGGGAAGGGCAGCTAATAAGAATAGAGCCACAGTTGTTTAATGGTTATTCACTTACTGACTATAGATAAGAGTTTTCTTACAGACCCTGGGGAACTGGAGGATTTGCTGCAAGAAGAAAACCAGCTGTAAAACGATAAGAGACACGTTGGGGCCCATTGCTCAGAGAAGAGAGTTCTTTCTGAGAACAAAGGCCAGGACTCACTTTGATTTGATTGCTGTGCCAGGACCCGCTCTCCTGAAGTTTTCCTCAGGAATGCTGACCATTCCTGGGTCCCAGGAACTGGTTGGAGTTGTTTTTAACACGATTGAAAATTAACTACTTTGTTATCAGACTTCAAGATTGAAAAATCAGACAGAGGGCGAAAACCAGGACTACAGGCTTTATTAGAGGAGAAGGACCTGCCGGGCTGTCTTGCAAGGGGAGGACAGCAGCACGTGCAGGGGTGGGCACGCCTTTTGAGGGGCGGAATGGGAAGGGGTGGGGGGCTTAGTGTACTCGGCGCACACTGATTGGTGGCTTACTGCATTGTCCATATAGGACAAGGGCTTAGGGTATTTGGCAGGTGTGGATTGGTGGTCCAATGTATAGTCCATATAAGGTACCTGGTTAGTCACTCAGGTATTTCTGGGCTGCAGGTTACGTCATACTCTGCCCACCAGTTGGGGGAAGGGAGGATTTATCAAAGATCCTGGAAGGAGACAGTCGGACCACAGACCCTGCAGCCACCTCTCCCTCCTTCCCCCTCCCATGCAGCCTCTCCTCCTTATCCCTATACTCTTAGCCGACTGGTGGGAGGTGGGAGAGCAGGTTTTCGTGGATGGCCTGCTGCTCTCCCATATGCAGGCATTATTGGAATAAACGCTCATATATGATTCAACCCCGACTCTGCTTAATTGGCTCAAGTAGTGACAGGCAGCCCTGACCCATTAGTTGTCTGTTTTCAATACTTTATACTTAGAGTGGGGTTGGTTTTCTAGGGCAAAGTCTCTCCAGTGCTGAGTTCTAGGTCTTCCCCGAGTGGTACAGCTGTCTCTGCATGCTTTTTTTTCTTCTCGTCTTCTTCTCCCAACAGTATTCTGCAGTTACTGATTTGAAGCTACTTCACTTAATGGTGAAGTGGTCTTTTGGTCCATTCTTTTTTTTTTTAATATTTTAAAATATATTTTATTGATTTTTTTACAGAGAGGAAGGGAGAGGGATAGAGAGTTAGAAACATCGATCAGCTGCCTCCTGCACACCTATTGGGGATGTGCCCGCAACCAAGGTACATGCCCTTGACTGAATCGAACCTGGGACCCTTCATTCCGCAGGCCAACGCTTTATCCACTGAGCCAAAATGGCTAGGGCTTGGTCCATTCTTTAATGTTCCTATGAAGTCTCAGTACTAACCCTGAATAATGTTCCTGGTTTGGAGGTTACAGCTTCCTCGGTGCTGCTGACCTTCCCCGGACTATAGTTGTGGCCCCAATGCATAATCCAAGGGAGTAGTTTTGTTTGTTTGTTTGTTTGTTAACCCTGATATAGCCCCTGGGTTGCAATGAGTTTTCAGCAATGCTCTACTACAGACTGCAGTTTCCAGGTGCCATTCATTCCCAGGGTGAAGGTTTTGTTCATCAGTGTATGAGGAAGAGGATCTGAGTGGAGTTTCTTGCCCCTGCGGCACTGCTGCTTTTCTTTTACCCAACTTTGCACCACAAGGATGTTTCTTAGATTTTTTTCGCCAATCTTTTATGTGAGCACACAGTAGGGCTCATGTTGAAATTATGCTAGAGGAAGTAGATTCCACTATCTTCAGCTCCCATTGATTTCTCACTGTCCTGCCAGCCCATACTCCCGCTTTCATCAATTTACACCTACTCCAACTAAATGCTTCCCTTTGCATCTGTGCAGGTGAATGTTGAGCCTTCTTTCACTGGATGCATTTTCTCTCACAGGTTTTGTACTGTTTGGCTGCTCTATGACCTCTTCCCTTCAATGAGTTTTTAAAAAGATGTAAATTTGAGGTGAGCTCAGTTTCAAATTTTTAAATAAGAATTGGAGTGCTGTTCCCTTCAGGTCTATGCCCTGGATTGGAAGCTGCAAGAATGATAGGAATTTAAAGGCTTACATATCCTCAGGGCGACTTCCAGAGTGAAAATGAAAGACCAAATCTATGCTTTCATAATACTCTTATTTCCCAGGCATATTAAATCAATGTAACACTGATTTATAAGCATGATGTCATCACTTTTAAAGGAGTATTTCAACATATGAGAAATTTCAACCAGTTTACAGAATTTGAAAAGTGGATGATAGACTATTGGTGAGGCGAAGCAGAGAAAATTAACCTGTACACACACATGGAGAGTGCTGAGAAGAAGAAACTGAGCTGCTTTTGCAACTCTGGACTCAGAGACAGCAGGTATGTGAGGGAAGGAGTGAGAGGTGGAGGCAGAAATCAGAAGTACCAACTGAAGACTTAAATGTCATTTATAGTTACATAACAGTGTATTGTGGATTCACACTTCCCACCCCTGCCTATTTAGAGTGTGCAGGGCAGTCAGGAATTTGACTACCACAAAAAAAAAAAGAAAAAGAAAAGAAGGAAAGGAAGAAGGAAAGAAAGAAAGAAAGAAAGAAAGAAAGAAAGAAAGAAAGAAAGAAAGAAAGAAAGAAGAAAGAGACAGCATTATTTCATGAAACGTCATATAATTTCTCTAGGGAAAGGGTGAAGAGTTACTATGGGAGTAGGTGACTTTAAGAATAGTCTCCCTTAGTCTAACATTTGCATGACCCCTATAATATGTGAGGTAGTTTCATGAATCCTGTAAAGGTAAATTAATAGGGGGCGGGGGGCACATAAGAATAGAGCCACAGTTGTTTAATGGTTATTCACCTGACTAACTATAGTAAGAGGTTTTCTTACAGACTCTGGGGAACTGGAGGATGTGCTGCAAGAAGAAAAACAGCTGTAAAAAGTGAGACACCTTGGGCCCGGATGGATCCACTGCTCAGAAAAGAAAATGAATTTTGAGAACAGACAAAGGACAGGACAAGCTTTGATTTGGTTGCTGTGCCTGGACCCTGACCCTCTCCGGGACTTCACCTCAGGAATGCTGACCGTTCTAAGGTCCCAGGTACTGGAGGAGCTGGGTCTTAACACCATGGAAAATTAACTGTCTTGTTACTAAATTTCAAGATCCTGGAAGGAGACACATGGATCACAGACCCTACAGCCACCTCTCCCTCCTTCCCCCTTGCATGCAGCCTCTCCTCCTTATCCCTCTATACTCAGCCGCTAGTTGGAGGTGGGAGAGCAGGTTTTCGTGGATGACCTGCTGCTCTCCCATATGCAGGCATCTATATTAATAAAAGATTAGGTGGCCCTCATGCCCTCAGGGCAACACCCTCATGTCATCACGAGATGGCCGCCCCCACGTTGTCACAAGATGGTTGCCACAAGATGGCCGGCAGGGGAGGGCAGTTGTGGGTGATCAGGCCAGCAGGGGAGCAGTTAGGGGGCGATCAGGCTGGCAGGCAGAAGTGGTTAGGGGCAATCAGACAGGCAGTCAGGCGAGCGGTTAGGAGCAAGCAGTCCCAGATTAGAGAGGGTGCAGGATGGGCCTCTAGTTATTGGAATAAATGCTCATATATGATTCCACCCTGACTCTGCTTAATTGACTCAAGTAGAGATGGGCAGCCTGGACTCATTAGTTTTCTGGATTCAAAATTGCTATGTAACCAAGTTTTTCTTCTTATTATAATAAAAATAATATGATAAAAAATGTTCTCCTTGTTACTACTTACTGTATACCAGTACTTTTCTAAGATAAGAGCCATGAAAAGTCAAAACATTTATTGGATATTTGAAAAAGCCAGAAATAGGAGGCAAAATATCAAGGTTAAAAAGGCATAAAAGTTGACTGAAAATAAAAATTAGATATATGCCACCCAGCTGGTGTGCTCAATGGTTATTTTTATAATAATTTGAGTTATTTTTATAAATTTGATACTGTATCTTTATACTTTTAAAGTAAGATTTTAATGTTTTTATTGTATTTTATTTTAAAATATATATATTTGTATTAATTTCAGAGAGGAAAAAAGAGGGAGAGGGAAATAGAAACATCAATGATGAGAGAGAACCATTGATTGGCTGCCTCCTGCATGCCCCCACTGGGAATCAAGCCCGCAACCCAGGCATGTGCCTTGACCAGAATTGAACCATGACCTCCTGGGTCATAGGTTGATGCTCAACCACTGAGCCACTCCGGCTGGGCAGATTTTAATGTGTTTTTTTAAAAAAAAAATACATTTTTATTGATTTCAGAGAGGAAGGGAGAGGGAGGGAGAAACATCAATGATGAGAGAGAATCATTGATCAGCTGCCTCCTGCATGCCTCCTACTGGGGATTGAGCCCACAACCCAGGTATGTGCCCTTGACCAGAATTGAACCCGGGACCTTTCAGTCCACAGGCCAACGCTGTATCCACTGAGCCAAACTGGCTAGGGCTGATTTTAATGTTTTTAATTGCAGAGGATGGGAGGAAGGATTAAGCCAGTGAACAAGAAAATCAA